GCCGCCACCGATACTGCGCCCGCCCGAATCCAAACAGAGCAAACGCGCAACACGGTCTTTCCACCTTGAACCGGCTCTGGCCGAAATACGCCGGCTCTGGTTCCTCTGCTCTTTCAATTCAGCGTACGAGATCGCGCGTCTTAGCCCTGGCGCGGATCCCTGCCATGCACAGTGTTTTAAAATGACTGCCTAACAGGGAAAAAGTTACAATTCTGATCGTTTTCAGTTACTCTACTTTTGCGCTTTTTGTATTTCTAAATCTGTAAGGATCTTTAATTAGAATTGAATAAAAGCTATTTGCTTATAAAGACGTGTACGTGGAAGTCTTTGTTGTCTTAGAGAATATCACTTATCTTTGGAATTGTCTTATGTATTACATGTATATGTAGAGAAAAGCGCATACTTAAGATTCGTAATAAAGGGATTACAAAGATTTGACGACGCTTCTGAATAGACACGCTCAAAGATAGTCGTTTTTGGAACGAATATTTGAAATTCAGTTTTAAAGATAAAGCTATCTGGATTGATGCGAATTGCTCAAAATTGCACAGCTATTTGGTGGTTTCAGTGCTTAGACTCTTGTAAAAATAAAGTGCTAGTTTTTGCGACCCTTTTTCCGTATCTATTTCAGTTACTAGGTTATGTTATATCTTTAGAATATCTATGGCCTATACAAAGCTACCCATAACAAGGTAATTTTACCTGAAGAAATAAATACAATAACTCAAACTCAAGCGTCAGACAATATTAGTCTGCGCACGGTGCGATGACTCTGTTGCGGCCAAACAGGCAGCCGCACGTTGAAACATATCAAACATAGACTTGTTCTTTTTCCTAAGGCAACTGAAATGTGCTACTTTCCGTAATGCACGCCGAGTGATTCGACGTCGTTACGATTTCGATACGATTTCGTTGCAATGACCGTGTACGATTCGCCAGATTTATGTTTCTAGCCATAGACGCGCTAATAGTATCGCCAATTTTCATAAAACGGTGTTCTGCGTTTGCTGTTACGCAAAATTTATTATATTCTTTCGAGCGATGAAAACGTATCGTGGCAAAGAATAAGATCACGAAATAATTTATTACGAAATTAAAGGGACGATGTTCGAGCACGTGACTAAATTCAAATTCCAATGATCTTGACTTATATCGCTACGATCTTCAGCGCTCTAAATGATAGAACGTGCGATTTTCTTACGGTAGGATTCTACTTATTTGAAATTGTCGGAGGAGAGAGCAGTTTATGTAATAGGAAATCCTTTTCCGTTCCGTTATCGATGATTTGCCGTTTAAATAATAGTTTCGTGTTCAGATAACTGGATCGATAAGCGTTCTATTAATCAGGTATTAGGTAATTAAAGGATGTTAGAAAAAAGTCAAAAGTTGAGTAACTTGGATATGTGATATTAATATTAAAAATGTTATTGAAAATGATAAAAAAAAGCAGATAAAGAGGAAGCAAGCAAGCGCTTACGGGGCAAAAAGTTGGCAATATACACGCGCATATAATATTTTGTAGATAGAAGCCTACATTTACATTATATTACATAAAAAATCTGCCAAAATATATGTTGTGCGTTGTATTTGTTTCTAAGTGCAAGTGATTTTTGTTAGGTGACTACACTTTGCACTCGATCAACTTGACGCGAGTCAAATAACCCTTTCCGAGCAATTTTAACATAACCGAATGGAAGTAGGTTAGGGTTGGTTCGTGATTGGCTGCAGCGATTTATGCGTCGGGGAAAGTAAGGATTACGTTTGAGACGTAAGCATTAAGACGGAAGGTTTATGTAGTTCACTGGAACAGCAAAGACTTAGGTTATTGGCCCGGTTTGGTGCGCATAGACGAGACCGGTTTCAAGGATGTATGAAATGATGCTGAATTGTTTGCGGTTGCAGAAGTTAAGTGGGTTTGAATATCGTGTACGAATTTAAATACCGTTCCTCAACCCTTCCGATACGGTATTCTTAGAACCAAAGACGTTTCTGGAATATTTATATATATAGGTCAAAGCACAAAAATACGCGCGAATATCATCTAAATACTTTGTATCGAATAATAATTAATTACGATGTAATATAGTGTACAAGAGAATAAAAACGATTTTATGTTGTAGTAAACGTATACATGTACTTTTTCAGCAAATGATCGTATTTGAAGTTGTATATTTTATTCCAGATTTAATGAATCCGTCAAACGACGAGTTTCAGAG